GGGTTGAGGACGGAGAACGTGACAAGCTAACATTCCTGATTGTTCTAAACAAATTATGTTTTGTAAAAAGTAAAGTTTCATGACATACACGACATTCATGACATTTCATTTAAAATGAACAAGTCAGCTTAGTTTGGAACTGACTTGTGTCGTCTCCCTGATCATTCAGGACACGAAGCTATTTACCGCAGCCTCGGCTGGTCTCTGTCCGATCCAGACTGCCCAGTGCCTCGCTGCGCTGYGCTGTTTGCTTTTTTTTCTCCTCCCGCTGTGTGTGGTGTTCTACACATACTTTCTTGTTTACCTGTTTCTGCAGGATGTACAGTGGGCTGGGGTGTGTGTGTGTGTGAAGCCTTGTGTTGCTGAGGCATTGTGTGTGGCCTTTGAACCTGCACCTGGGGTTCAAACCAACCAAGCTCAAGTCAGTCATAACAATCAGATTAATTTAATATTTCTTGATTTACATTACTTTCTTCCTATAGTGTAAGCTACCGTTTAAAAATGAGGAGCTTTGCAAATAATTTATTTATTTGTTCAAAGGTGACGCCATCCGCGGAGCCTATCCTGGCATAGACCAAAATGGTTTCGGCTTCAGCACCATTGACCGGGACAACGATGGCTGCTCTCCATGCATCTTTGGTGACATTGCTGTGTCCAGGTGCATCGATTCAGAGGGTGGTGGTTGGTGGTACAGCAAGTGTGGCTCTGCTGCTCTAAATGGCGATTGGCACCCGTTTGGTCAACACATCGGCTGGTCTTCAGGTCTGCACTGGCTCACCTGGAATCCTCCTGCACCTTATTCAGTCAAGGCCACCAGAATGATGATCAAATCTGAATCTGAGTTTAAGATAAAAAAAAGACAAAACTTCATAATATAAAGCGTAAGATGACGGATACATTTGTAGTTACTAAGAAAAAATGTTGGGTGGAGAATGATACAGACTAGAATACTCTCCTTTTTATGTTTGTGCCTTTTTAACTACCAGTTGCAGTTTATTATGGAGGACCGAATCTGACATAATTAGAAATAAAAGCAGAAATATATAAAATGGACCAATAAATAAATACACCTAAAATGCACCAATTAAATAAAAAATTTAGAACTTTATCTCATGTTTTATGATTAAATTGACCTTTGTTTAGCTTAAAGTTTAAGGTTTAGTAAAAAAAGGCAAGAAGGAAAACACCTGTGCATTTAACTACATTTAAGTTTTAAGCTAAACTGAGGCAGCACAAGCATAGATCTGAGGCCTATAGCACGAATCTAGGATAAGGGATTAACCTGGGATTTTGGTGGAAACCTGAATTAATTAAGCCTTGAATCGGTTTTGCATGAAAGGGGAAGCACGTATGTTTCTGTGGTAACAAGTGCTCTGAAACTAACCTGGTCCCGACCAGGTTTAAAGTGAAGCTTATTTAATCTGTTAATGTTTTTGAGCAGTAGAGTCATTTTACTGCAGAAAAATGTTCATCTAACCAAATTTTATAGTCTTATATCAGCTAAAAAGTATTTTTGATCTTGTTTTTAGACTGATATACTAAACAAGATCAGAATTTGTTGGATTATTAATCTTGTTAACCTGAAGTTTTTTTTTAACTTCAAGAAGTCTTACCAAGTGCAACTGTCAAACTGCAGATTAATAATTATTATTAATTTGAAAAGAATAAAGGTCTAATATNGAAGAATGAACCCGATCCTGGAACAGGCCCACCAGGTAAAATATTCGTGCCTCAAACAGTCATTAGTAAAGTCTTAGAATGGATTCACTGTCACCAACTCACATGTCATCCCGGAG